AGCAAAAAACTGACTGGGGAAATAAGGTTATAAATCCATATTTTCTCGTGCACAATATTAAACTGTTTGTTGAACCCATTATGAAGGGCACAGTAGGCCTTTTGCATTGAAGGGAACAGAAACACCGTGTTGTACCCAAATAGTTTTGGAGCAAGTACACACGCACACACACACACACACACACACACACAAACTCCAGAATGTTTCTCCTGACCAAAAATAAAAGAAACTAAAGGTCCCTTGGGCTTGCTAAAGGCTTCCAGCTCTACTTCCTGTTTTCTCCTGTTGGATTTGGGGCATGATAGATTGGAGCTTTTCATTCAGATAGGAGATGGCTCAGTGTGCAGCTGAAAGCAAACTTTTCAAGGAAGCACACAGGATTAGGCAGAGATGGTAAATTTCAGCTTAGGAGTAGCACACAGCCATGCAGCACAAAACACCTGAATTCTAGTTGCAGTCTCTTTGTGACCTTAGGTAACTCACCACCTCCCCGATTCCCTATTTATTTCCTAGTTTGGAAATGGGAGAATTGGTTTAGGCAATCCTTGCCTGGTTTTGACATGGGTTCCTGACATAGCAGGTCACTGTGTGCTACAGCTAAGGTGTCATCTTCACGCTCTTATTTAAATAAAGAGCTGTTCTTTCTTTAGCATGATTTGTTTAGAAACGTAAAAAGCACCCAACAGACAAAATATTGCACTATACGCTAAGCCTTCACAAATAAAGTGTAAGAGTAGGGGGGAATAAAGTGAAACACAACAGAGAAGCCTCACTTTAAGATGAAAGGATTTCTATAAGCATAATTATGGCTGGCATAAATTTAAAGGTTGTGTTCACTAAATTACTATCATTCTCTAAATTCTTGATTGAAGATACACTTTGCCTAGCTGCTTAAATCTTTGGAGTAAGATTCATGGAAGTTTCAGTGGACAGTAATTTCAACTCTAAATAATACATAATGGAGAATAATTTTCAGAAGCAACATAACATGATAACATAACAGCAGGCACTGATGTCACAAAGAGAAACAACCCCCTTGTATTATAATACTTAAAGCAAATATAAACATAAATAACCTGAATGGAAACAGAGCCTCTAATTGTTTTCTTAAATTAAAGTTAGTCATAAATGAGAGCATCCAAAAATTTCCCAGCTTCAAACACCTCAAAAACTTTACAGATACAGTACTTCCTTATCTAACTGATGATGTCTATGAGATAGATAATGTGTTTAGTCTTCTTCTACAGAAATAAAAATTAAGGCTCATGGGGATTCAACACTAGTAACTAAATGACACATTCAGATGTCCAAACATATACAGTTTTTTCTAAGAGTCTACATCTCAGTGCTTTATTGCTTTGACCCAAAATGTCTTGATGTGATGTTCATGTCATTTATTCAATACATATCTATGCTGGACCAGGCAATCTTCATTGAAGGTGTTATCAATATAGTAATGGAAAATATGTACCAAATTCCTTGCTTTCGTGCAGCTCACAGTTACTGATGCAAGGCACACGTCAGACAAGGGGATGAACGAGTGGACTAGAGGTAGGATAAGGAATGGCCCATGCTGTGTGATAAAAATTTAAGCTGCATGAAGAAATCAGGAGCACAGGAGCTGGTGGGGACATTTTTACAACAGGATTTAAGTATATTATTATGCAGACAAAGGCAAGAATAAACTTTGTGGACATATTAAAAAGATAATGTCTTTGTTGCACATTAAAAAGAAAACATTGAGAAAACTTCTTCTGGTGTAACTGGCTGTCTTTGTTAATCCCCTTTCCCCCCCCAAAAAATCTGTTATTTTATATTTTATTTTATTTTATCTAATTAAATACTTGCCCATATTCCTTACAGCAATGCAGGGTAAAAATAGTCCTTAGCAATTTTACATTTGTAAATGTCTGAATTACAATTAGTCCCATTTCCTGTATTATTGAAAGAAAAAAATTATTTGCTCTAACGTGTTTTTATCGTGATGCTATGTTCTCATCTTCAAACCTTATAGTTCTTAAGAGAATCTTCCTCTGATTTTCCACAGAGGCCCTCCACAGAGGATGAAATTGTCTTTCTCATAATGAGGTGTAGTTCTTTAAGGAAAGACAATGGAAAAAGTGATGTAGGAACCCTCCTCTGAGACCGAATGTCTTCCCTCTTGACCCTTAGCTTTTCCTCCCAATAAGCTCAAAAGCCAAAAACCTTAGAATAGGATCAATACAAAACCAAGAGGCTGTATTCTGAGCAAGAATGTGTCTGCCTTTGCTTAATCAATAAAATGGAGAAGCCAAATTATTGTGCTTATTTTTCATTGAGAAATTTGCCAGGCAGTGTAACCAGGCACCCTGTTCCCCCGGGAGCTGGCTCCACACACCATGGTTCCTCTGCTCCAGTTCTGCCCGGAACTATGAGAGCACACACTTTCCAGATTGAGCTGCTTTTATACCTAGAGGAAAAATAAGCTGTCCCCAGCCTTCCACCTGAGAGAAATCTCATCCTCCTATTCAGTGAGCCAAATGGAGAAGCTTACACAAATGGACAAGCAGAGCTTGTAGGCAGAAGACTGGTTTTGCTGTGCTGTTGTGTTTTGAAAAAAATCATAATAAGAAATATTCCTTTTTTTTCAATCCAATTTTACAAATCCATCATATTTTTTTTATGAAAAACTCTCCAAAATAAAATTGTATGCGGCATTTGTAGGATTAGGTGGTCATCTCTCAGTATATTTAACAGTAGATGTACCTGCACGATTAAATTATTTGTGATTTTTATTATCCTTTCTTGATATAATTTTTATTTCATGAGACTTTTATAATTACAGAAGAAAATGTCAAATGTGTTTAAAACCTATTTTCACAGGTTTTAACTATGTTTGAAATGTTTCATTTTTTTAAACGAAGCAAATATTTCCAAACTATCACTGGTATATGCATATAATATCCTAGACTTTTATATTTGGCAACAAATTAAATTTTCTCCTTTTACAGAACACAGTATGTCCTATATGAAAATACTGAGTTTCTCTCTCTTGAATATGCACTTAAAGTTAAGATGAATTTGGATCCTGTAAGAATTCTAACATTCAGAAAACTTTCCTGTGAAGAAAGCAAACCCAACAAACCAGCACCTGCGTCAGCATTAACCATTTCACTCCTGCACAGGAAACAAATGAAAGTAATGAGTCTGCATTATTATTATTATTATTATTATTATTATTATTATTATTATTATTTTAATCTGGAAAACCTGTTTCCTGGCCTCCCAGTGTTCCAAAGAGGGAAACCTGGAGCATTCCTGCCATTTTTTCCCAGAAGGACAATTTCAACATTTGGTAAGCTGAATATTTCAACTCTGAAATAACTCTTAAAGGCACTGCTATTATATTTTCATTTGACAACATACCGAGTTTTTCGTATCATTATTTTTTACTTTTTGCTATGTTGTGTGTTAGACTTTGTCTCCTGAATTACTATATATACTATTTATGTATTAATTATATATATATTTCAGGACTCTGTTTTGTCTTAGAAAATAAATTTAAGGAAGATTGAAGAAACGATACATTACAGATTTGAGAACCCAAACTGTAACATGTTCAGTCAGTGTTACTAAATGGAATGAGGATTGCCTTTGAAGGATTCTGCCTAAAATCGATTTTTTTCCTGCAGTTGATCACATCCCCTCAATTGGGATCTTCATAGCTAATCATTTTCATCTGAAATTGATTCATTTAAAAAAAAGAATATTTGTCTCCTGCTTGGTCTGAATGCTAATTACGCCCTGTTAGGGAGCAGCGACACCCCAAAGGCAGGATTCCGAGCGGGTTCATCCCGCGCTCCTCCCCACATCTCGTGGAACTGGCCAAAGAGCCTCACTGGAGGCTCAGAAAGCCTAAAATAAATCTCCAAGAATTCTTGCTCGGGGCCTGGAGACCGAGGGTGGGAAGATGGTAGCGAAAGGAATTGAAGGAGACAAAGCCAGGGGCTGGGGCCTGGAGACCTCGGGGAGCAGAGGGAGGAACGGGCCAGCCTACAGAGAAAGGCGCCCGCGTGACCAGGGCGGGGCGGGTCTAGTCTTCCTCCTTCAAGGGAACTCTAGGGTAGTGGAGGTTGGGCGGCGACACAGATACGGACTCTAACCAAAGACAGACCTGAGGTCTTTATTTCGGGTCTCTAAGCAGCTCCAGCAGGCAGGGCCGAGGGGCCGGGGGGTGGGGGGGAGTTGTCTGTTCCCGGAATTCAACAGTACAGGCTACCCGAGCATTTAAGGTGATTTGTTTTCATCAAATGCACAGTGAAACAAAAGGGGCTGCGCCTCAGCCTCAGGTGCCAGGCTCGTTCCTGGACATTCCCACCCCTCCTCTCCAGCCACCGGCTCTGCGCTGTCTCAGCAGGTGGGGCTGGGTGGCGGGGGCTCCTGGGGGCTGGCGCGGGGACCTCGCTGGTGGCTCTGGCCACCCGGCCACGGACGCAGCTGGGCGCCACCGCTCACCCCGCCCCTGAGCAGCCTAGCTCATTAACAGGTGGAGCCGCGCCCCGAGGGCTCGGAATCCCCCGGTCTCCATAGAAGCAAATCCTTCCTCCCCACAGGACCATCTGGGAAGACTGGGGGCGGGGGCAGACCTTCAATTCTCCCTGCAAGGCTCAGCTCCGAGGACAACCCTGAGCCCCAGGACGCATGAGAAGCGCGCACAGGCCCTCAAGCCCTCTGCGCACCGGACCCCTGCTCCCGTCGGGCCTGGCCTCCACTCCCGCCCCATCACAAGGCGCTTCGACCTCTGCGCGGAAAAGGATTCAGACTCCAGAGGGACGAGATCTCGCCCGTCCGCCCGCCGGGGCCAACTTCAACCCTCTGGCTCTGGAAGGAGATGCCAGCAGCCCCAGCCCCTACAGGGTGTGTCACGGGACCAGAAAAGGTCCGGGGCTCCCCACCCCCTCGGAGCTGCCTTCCTGGGCACAAACCCGAGCCCCAAGTCCCGGCCCTCTCCGGTGCTTTACCTGTTGGCTGCCAGGCGCGACGCGATGTATCCACCGGGGATCTGGGTGATGATGTAGCCCCAAAAGAACGAACCGTGGATCATCCCCACCGTTTCCGGGTCCCAGTTGAATTTCGCTTTCTACAGGGGTGGAGGGAAGGAAGAGAGATGAGAGGGAAGAGTGGAGTCAGTGGTGAAGAATCACTTCCAGGGGCTTCCAGGCCAGAGGGCCCTCCCCACGCCGGGCACTTCCTGCGTTCCCCGGGTCCGGAGCCTTGCTTTTCGTTTCCTAACAAAATTGCCTCTTGTAGCTAAAATTAAGGGCGCTCAGGAAGTGACTGACAGCGAGCTTGCTGACCCAGGCTTTGTGGCCAGGTCCCCATGAGGCGGTCTGATCGCCTTAAAGAAAGAAAAATCTTTAGGAGCCCAGTCTGGGACATTTAGCCCACTCCAGAACAGACCTCTTAGCCAGCGCCTCCGGGTTGGGGCTGTTATCCCGCATCCCTTTGGCCAGCGGCGAGCAGAGAGGACGCAGTGGTGCAGTGACTTCCAGGGTGGGATGCAATCCGCTTGGCCCACACAGGGAAATTATGGGGAAGAAAGGCGCACAGCTTGGACGGCTAGGGGAAAGGGTTTCTTCCCCAAACTGGATGGGTCTGGAAAGTTTCCGAGTCAGTGGCCCTTGAACTGGGGGGAATTGGTGGAGAGAGGACCACTGATTGCGCAGGAGTGGGTGTGACGGGTGTGTCTCACGGTCAAGGCATTATTCCCCAGGGCTACGGGCCCACAAGGTGCTACTCCAAGGAAGTCTCAATATCTGCGCCCCAAGTTTAAGAGATTGCTTGTCCAAGGAGCTAAGTACCCACCCTCTTGCTCCCTGCGAATAAAATGTTGAAACCAAACGCTTTTTGCAGGGTCTCCTGGATTCCTCAGAGGCCAGGGGATGACGCCCAAGCTCCCCACACCCCGAGTGTTCCCGCAGTGTCTCCTCAGCCTCGTTTACAGCCTGGCCATCCAGGACCCTAAACAAAAGGAGCCACAGTTGATTTCTGTGTCCTTGAAGTGACCTCCCTTCTGTAGGTGTCGCTGTGCAGCACACACAGAGTAAAGCTTAGCAACTGGAAGCCCCTGAACCCACGAGGGTCCTGCGCTGCAGCTTCCCACGCAGCCCTCGAGATAAACCTCCCTAGGGCGTCTCAGCACGCAGCTAATTGATTTGTTCTCTGTTTGGTTTAATTTTGATTATTAAAAATGTTTGGGTTGGGATCTGAAGGCAATGGGGGCATAATAACGAATATCCTACTCTCTTTCTCCGTAAAAATAAAGTGAAAGGAAAGCAGTGTTAGTTTGAAGGGAGCGTTCAATTTGTATTAAGTCGCGCTTAAAGGGTAGAGAGCGAGGTTGTGCTTTGCACTCTGTTCGCAGAGGTGACTGCGGCCCACTCTGCCCGCGGGTGAGGGGCTGGGCCTCCCGGGCCTTGCTCTGCGGCTGGGGGCTCAGGCTGCAGTGGGAACGCGGGCCCTTGGGCTGGGGCGGCCGTTGCCCACCTCCTTGATGACCTTGCCGCCGCGGTGGATGGTGCTGTTGTTGACCATGTCCACGATGGCCACGCCCAGGTTGCAGCGGATGCCGAAGGAGATGCAGAAGCCCAGGCCGCTCATGACGGCGATGATGTAGCGGCGCGGCAGGCCGAAGCACGTGCAGTCGCACAGCGGCGCCTTCCTCTCCGGCACCTCCAGGGGCTTCCCGTCCTCTGTCAGCTCGATGGTCTCCCCGCCGGTGTCCTGCTTCTTCTCCAGCACCCTGCGGTCAGAGGGCGGGAGAGGCAAGGAAGCCCCAGGTTAGACACCTGGGGGGCAGGCCCGGCTCATTGTCCCGGACCCCTCGGGGCTGGCTGGACCATCCTGGCCTTGCCCCTCCCTAGGGATCAGGGTGATGGGGCGACGCGGAGCCTCAGAACCTGTGGGCTCCTTTTCAGCATTCCCTACGCTTGCCCGCAGCTGCGGGCGGTGCTGCTACCTAACACCTAAATGTCTCAGAAGTCAAATCTGGGGCTCAGGATCCACCCACTCCACGCCTGGGACCCAGCCCGGGGGCTCTGGGACCTGATCGCCGGCCGGGTCTGCGCTCGGTGGGAAAGGCAAGCAGAGCGGTGCGCCCTAGGCACCTGCGCGGGCCCTGGCGCCAGCCGCATCCCGCCCGCACCCCTCTCTATCCCGGCGGGCCACGATTCTGATCCAACATCGCGCTCCGCAGGCCGGCCCGCCGAGACCCAGCCAGTTGCGACCCCTCCTCAATCACCCGGGTTGGGGAAGTCGAGACCCGCCTCTCCTCCTTGCTCAGCCCCAGCCCCAGGCCTCGGCCTCTCCCAGCGTGTGGCTCAGAGAAAAGACCCAGAAAGCCGCGATTGTCAAGCACTGTCCTTCCCTTCGATGGAGCCAAGGGTGCCCGCTCGCTGCTTACTGCACTGCTACACATTTCCCTTTTTCTGTTTCTTGGAGCGGGAAACAAAGGCCTCGGCAGCATATGGCCGACACCTAAGCTTCCTACAGCTCGAACATGAATAATTAATTATTCACAATCTTGCGTCATTACTATCGGTTACAAGCACCAAAAAATATCACCGGGCCCATTTCTAAAGATGTAAAATGCGACTACCAGTTAAAACTCCCCCATATCAACTTTTGTAAGATTCCCACACCAAGGCGGGAGATCTCACTTAAAAATGGTTTTTTGGCATAGCATTGCATAAGATTTCGCCCGTCTGAATCAATTCCTTTCGAGCTTTCGTCCTTGGGGGAAGGGGGAAAGAGACCGGCAAAGAGGAGTGATGGAATTATTTCATTGAAGGTGTTGTTGTTCTAGTCCCTAAGCTATCTGTGGAATTTCTTTTTTGTCAAAGGAAGAATGTGCAAGACAACAGCTCCGTCACCCTTTGAGATGGATAGGCTCCACCTTTAAACAAAGCATGTCTCCATTTACAATTTCAAAATATTTTCCAAATCCTCCACATAATTATTTTGAATCTGCATTCTTTCAACCCATGAACAAACACATTTTTTTCTTCCATTCACAGACACCAGTGGAGTAAAGGAAAATTTCAAATCAATTTCAAGAATGAATGGCTTGAGATATTGCCGCCAAGACATTTCAGGTGAATAGAAAAAGAATATCACATTTCCAAAATCTAGGAATGTCACCTCTAGAACGGGTCCTGAAGGTGTTGAAGGAGAGGTGAATGCTACTGCTGAAGTCCGATCCCAGTGTCAGGAAACACTGTAATTTTTTCTAGAGGAACATAATTATCCAAGGAGGTATATTTATGTGGGCTTCACATGCCTACGTACGCAAAGTTGAACTCTGCACCTGATATCCCCACCTGATCTAAGCTGGGCTGGGAAAGAGCAGCTTTCCGGGGTGGTTGAGGGACTGCAGGGCCCTTGCGGTATTCACTGCCGCATAGGTGGAAGAAGGAGCTTCTCCTACCCGAAGCCCTCCAGAGCTGAATAGGTTGGGAAAGGAGAAGGCACACTGGTGACTTTCTTTATGTCCTTTATAATTTACAAAGACTTCAGTCTCCCAAATGTGAAAATTAGTCCTCTCATGGAATCGTTTGTCCTTTGTGTCTGTCCTTCCTGGTTGATTCTGCTGGTACAGTTAACCAAAAAATGTATATATAACACATACCTAGAAGGATTGAATATGTTTTAGTTCATAGCATAAGTGCAATGACTACAAAGGAGATAAAAAATGTTAAGTCTTTTCTAGGACTTTCAAAGTCAATTTTCTTGTTGTCACTATGGTTGTTCTTTCAAGCACACTGATTTCACATGCAAGAACTAGAGGGCTAGAAGAAAGCTAATAATTAAAAATATATAATATACATTGCTTCAGGTTCAGAGAAAAGAACTACTTCAGGTATCAATTATTGATATATTTTGATTTCATTCGGTACAGAAAGAGATCCCCTGAGAGTTTCTCTACTATGGTTTTGAAGCTGAGATCTAAAAACCTTTCTACCATTTGGAATATCCTGATTAATTTTAGAGGGTTATATTTTGTTATTCTCCTGCATCAAAGGAATTTAATTTGAGGTTTTCAAGGCACCAAAAGAAAGGCTTTTCAAGGCAGGTGCTACTCATTTCTGAATTACAAAGAGGATAAATCTTGGGTAAGAGAGGATGAGAATTTACAGGTACCAAATCAAACACACACACACACACACACACACACACACACAGAGAGAGAGAGAGAGAGAGAGAGAGAGCAGACAGGTTTATTTAGTGCAACATTCCTGCATTAATAAGCAGGTTTCCCTGAGCAGCTTGGCTTCAGCAATGAGCAACAAAAAGACTTCCCGATCATATTACAGTCTCTCTAAGCAACCAAGGTTTACGGAAATATTCCTGCAGACGGTTTTCACGGCAAGACCCAGGTACACAGGGTTTGCCTTCTCTTACCTGTAGATCTGGCCGAGGGATTTTCCAGCAAAATTCTTTAGCCCCTCTTTTCCTGGGGCCAAAATCCTTTGTTTTACGGACTCCATTCTCGGGAAGACTGATGTCTTGTCTTGCCAGATTTAAGTAGTGATTGCTATGAAAGGCGAGGGCTGCGCATATTTTCCTGCTCGCTTAACGTAGTTGTGGGTTTTTTCTTCTCAGCGGACTGGTACTGGTGTGCCTCCAGCGAGAGCGCGAGTGAGAGAGCGAGGGCGCGTGAGAAGGAGAATACAACAGAATAGCTGCACGCAGCCCACGGGTTTCCTAATAGGAGAGTTGGTAGACACAATCAGAAAGTCTCATTGGAAGGGGAGGATCTGGTGGCAAAGGGCGCACGCAGTGCCATGGTATTTGGGCGGGTGCAGATGAGTTCTTGTCCTGGTAGTCAGTTCACTGAAAAAGATGTTAATTCCCGATTTCCAGGGTTCACTGCAATCAAATTTGCTGGCTTTCAAAGGAGGGGGCAGAAATATGACAGAACACTTGTGGAAGGTCAGTATCAAAAGAATACTACTTCGTAAAATGGTGCCTTTGCCGCAAGGAGCTGAGAGCACTCTCAGAACTCACGGGAGCATCTGAGGTCTCAGGTGAGCAACGCCGCTGTTAGTTTTTCCTCCCTTCCCATGGTCTCCTCCCATCGCGCCGGCGTAACTCTGCTCTGCGGGAGAGTCGAATTAAGATGGAGAAGCGCTGCTGCTCTTTGAGGACGTGAGTAAATAACGGATGCACAGTTCTGATTTGGGGAGCATCAGGGAGAAATTTTTCAGAATGGCTGGCAACGCCCGCCTGGGCGGGTCTCAGCAGAAGGGTTCAGCACCACGGACAGAGCACGTTTCAGGATGAGGGGAGGCTTCTCACCGCTGGCCAGGTGGCCAGCTTTCGAAGGGAGCTGGGCTGACCGCCCCGACCGAGGACTATTGCGGGGCTCTTCAGGAACGGATGCTATGGAGACCAAGTGAGAAGATGTCATCATCTCCCGAGTTTGCTGGAAGAAGGCTGTACTGGGCTCTGCTGGGGAGGAGGACTTTATTAAAAATTGACAAGTTTCTTCCAGTTTGCTACCTTACGCTCAGAGCACAGTATTGCGGGGAACGAAGATGACAAGGTGTTTCACTTGTGCATGTGGTATTTCTGAACTCCAGGGACTCCCTAGAACAGAAACTATAGGTACACACCATGCATAATTAAATCGCATATTTGTTTATTTCAACTCCTGCTAAGAGAAAGAAGGCAGGCAGGTAGTTAGAAAGAGAAAGGAAGAAAGATGGAAGAAAGGGAGAGGAGAGAAAGCACACAAGCACAGAACTCTCACTTAAATGCAATGTAAATTCAAAGTAAATTCTTTAGAATTTTACTTAACTAATTTACAGCTCTACCAAAATATCGATATACTGATGAAATTTGTGGCTACAGCTTGTGCTTGTCAACAAAGTATTAATTGATGATGTTTTCAAGATTTACTTTAACATTTTTTTCCACTGAAATTTTATTTTTTCCTTTCTGCTTTCTCCTAAGGCATTCCTAAGAATTTTTGAAAGATGGTCATGTCAGATTTTTTATTTTATATACATAGAGAGATGCAAGATCAATGAATTCATTTAATTTAGCAAAGCAAGATATTTGTGCTAAATCAATGTGAATTATTAATACTGTGCATATGAATCACAGACCTCTGACGTAAAATTCAAGCAAATGCTTATAAAACAGACTGGCCTTGAACCACATTCTCAAGGTCAAAAGTGTGGCTGTTATTTAAGCTAACAGGGGGAGTAGATTTTACTTAGAAACCATAGGACTAAATCTCAGGTCTAAATACAGAATCATGTAAGACTATTGCCTGACTAGTTCACATGATAGAATGGATATGATTTGCTGAACAGATAGCTGAGAAACATTTCACAAGTAGGTAAAACCATTTGCTACTTCTAAGTATGTTAATTGTCAAATCACACAGCACTGTAAAGTGTGGTAAAAAATAAGATATTAGAGGTATATTTCTCTTATTTGTATAAATATGTATAACATATATGTCTGTAATAAATCAGTAAATCCAATTTTTAAAAAGTCTGGAATTTTTCAAAATACTAATTACTTCCACAGGGAAGTCAATCATGGAGAGAAAGAAAGAAAGCTTTGTAATCTACCTCCTTGAAAATAATCAATAAATACACACTCAAGTTACTCAGAATTTGACTCATGTGGGGGTTTTTCAAATTTTAGTGACTCAGTTGATTAAATTTAATTCATCCAGAAATATCCATGATTTTATATTCTGGGAATTTATGCAAAAAATGAAAGTTTTAACAAATATCTGTGAAGATCGGGTGTTCATATAAGGACAATTCTGCTTGAGTTTTCCCTAAACGACTAGATATCTAAACTACAGGGAAAAAGTGATGACCATATCACTCACTATATATTTATGAAGGGACACCAACTGATATGAATCTAGATATAAATCCAGATGAAAAGTATTGTTTGTAGCATAAGTACATTTATTCATCTTTACTAAAATATTTTCTCACTCTCTCCTCCCACCTCTTGATAACAGTTTGAATGCCTGAATCAGAGTAAGTGCTAATATTGACTTATTTCCTCTAAAAATATTCAAAAAGGGCCAAGAATTACACTCAGTCTGGGAATACCCCCTAGAAGATTTCATGGGCTGCATAGAAAACAGACATGGAAATATAATCGCAAAGAATTATGGGTAAAAATTAAACAAATGAAATAACCCAGCCTATGTGCGAAACTATATAGAAAACCACTCCAGTAAGCAATGTTTCCTTGCTTTTCTAAATATTTTGGAGGGACTTTAGACCAGTGGAGATGGTGACAGTCCAGTGTAATTGAGCAGGGAAAAATGGTAGCATTTGGAAAGGATTCTAGCTAAAAAAAGGAATTGTTTTGGCAGTCTTATACAAAGGGAAAATGTTGTATGTGGAAAATTGCAAGAGCTGTTGCTTCTCCACCCGAGACTGAATACATATATAGCTGATCCTTAAAGTTAGATTCCAGTTACTTTAAATATTCAGATTCCAGTTATTGACCCAACAGATTTTTTCCCTATGCAGTCACAAATTCTAAACACTGAACGCATACTTTTGTGATACTGGTAAATTTGTTTATAGACAAAGAAATGAGAGAGAAATGCTAGTAATTATTGATATAGCATCCACTTAGGTATATAAAAAATGATGTCCTTTCTTTGGGCACTCGTCTTGACCCTAAAAAATCTTACTGTTTCTTTGTACTGGGGATTAAACTCAGGGTTTGTATATCCTAAGTAAGTGTTCTGCCTATGAAGTACATCTCTAGTTGTTTTTATTTTACTTTGAGACAGGGTCTCATTATCTTTTCCAAGCTGCTCTCCACATCAGGCTCCTCCTGTCTAAGCCTCCTGAGTAGCTGCAATTACTGACATGCACCACCATGCTCATTTTTTTTTTACCTTCCATTTTAACAACGCCTTAATTTCTGTCTAGATGACATTTCCTCTGGGAGAACTCTGTCTCCTCCCAATAAGGTTTCATTGAATACCAGAAACATGGATAGCATACTGCAATTTATGAATGGTTTTTATTTAGATGATGACCTCATTTATCCTCATAATTTTTTAGAGCTAAATTAGTTTTCTGTCTATTTTATGGAGGAAGAAAGTGAATATTTATATATTTCTCGAAGGCATATACCTAGAAATGAAGATAAAAAAGTGTTACAGATTGGAGATGCTATGGACTAGTTTAAAATTTTGTTAAAGTACACACTGATTAAATGTGTCCAGGGTGGAGCCCAAGGTTGAGCAATTGTAAAAAATTTTCCCAGACTTCATGCTTTTGAAACATTCTTTGAATATCAGTAACTTAGAGGATGAGACATGAAGTCAGATGACGAGTTCAAGTCTAGATTCTAGGGATTATCAGCCCTAAAACTTTGACACCACTACTTAGCATTAATTATTTCAGTTTCTTTGCAGGCACAAATGAAAGGTTGCAGTGGTCACTTTCTTCCCTTCCACTTGAAAAAGTCAGTGAACTTTTCATTATTTATTCGTTATTATAAACATTTATTATTGCTTTATTCCACACTGTTTTCACTGTATCCCACACAATTTTTCATAGAGTGGAAATGAAACAAAAATATGAAAAGATGCTGGTATTTTTGCATTTTAAAAGTTCTATCTTATGTTTTTTAAAAAGTCTAAACTTATTATTTGTGTTTCTATGAGGGCATAATGAGATTTATAACCAATTGAACAAATAATTATATGCATAGAATATTTTTATGCTTACATACAGTATTACTCCTCAGCAATGCAATAGGTTTGTTTGCATTTGTTTACGCCCCCACGTGAGGTGATGCTTTTGGGAGATTTAAACATCTTGCAAATGTTGCCCTCTGGTGGAAGCAGATGTCAATATTTTAGAAATAAATTGTCAATTATGTAATTTGAATCACTGCTTTTTTATTTCTATGTTTTTACTTTTCTTTTTCTAAACTACTTGTTAAATTCAAATCTTCCCATGAAAATATCGAGTCTTTTTTTGAAGAGAAACGCATTGCAGTTGCTGACAGAGTACTCAATGTCTTTTAGGAGTACATTGATTCAAAATGCATTAATGAATAACAATTTTAATACTAGAAGGAAAGGTAAATTTAATTATGAAAATATATAACACCTTAGGCTGACAAATTCTGAGAATATCTTAAATGCAACTTTTTTTTCATATTTCAACAAATGCTTACTCAGCAGACAAAATGCACCTACGCTGGGGAGCTCTTTTCTATGGAGTACAGTAAACCAGTAAGCTCAGCAATAAACTTAGAAAGGGAGCACTCTTAAAGAGAAAATTGCTTTTTTACCAAAAATTATTTTTATAGCATGACTATATTTGACATTAAATTCCTAACTAAACATTCACTCTAATGATTACACATGTCTTTCAGGTTGAACCTACAAAAGTAAGCTCTAGGATTCACGTGTGACTTTTTCTCCTATCAAAGATTTTTAAGTGGACAGTTTTTAGGTCAGTTTTATTTGATTATTCTTTGCAGGATTATCCTGGGAAACATTTCTAAGAAATTACATGGCCCAGTTTCTTGAGAAGCAAAAGTAGAAGACATAATTCAGGTTTTTTTAAGAACCTCATCTGTGTACATAACCCAATACTCTGTACTTCTGTCTTTAGTGGTCTAGTATAAGTCGTCTTTTCATTTACTTAGTTAAAAACTGGAAGTAGAAAGTTCTAAATAAATGTACATTATTGCTTAAAATATGTAATAAACTGCAAAAAGTATACGTGTATAATCCTACATAAAGTATACCCTTTTCTATTAGAAGTAATCTTATAATTTATTCATCTCTTCCCTCTGAACTCAAGAGAAGACAAATCTTATACATTCTTTGACATTGTGCCTTGGGAAAA